CTGATAAATCGGAGAAAATCATAAATCTCTGCTGTACTCTACAAATTTTCACCTCGAAACCCTCATCTACGAGCAACTTTTCATAAACAGCTTCGGGATCAGTGCAATGATGATACGGCGATATATATTCCTCTGAGTTCGTCAAAAATTTGCTCCATTTCGGGTAGCTGGCCATCGATTCATAAATATCAAAAATCGTTGATTTTGTAACTATAGCCAATAGCATATCACCGCCTGGCTTCAGCAGATTGTACATATTCTTCACAGTTTGTTTTTGATTTTGAACCCAGTTCAAGCAAAAGAACGAGAATATGTGATCGAATTTTTCATCTATCGTTTTCGTAATATTTTCGGATGCTATATCGCATACAATAAAATCTATTTTTGGGTTTTTATTTTGTTTGTTTGCCTGATTTACCATCTCCGGTGAAATATCCAATCCAACAAGTTTTTCAAAGTCGTGTGGAAGTAGTGGTATAACACTTCCATGGTCACTTCACCGAACCAGATCCTACGTCCAAATAGAGTCACCACTTTTCCATTTAATTCCTTGTATATAATTTTCTAATACAAAAGTAGCTTCGTCGATTTGTATTCTGTGATATTTGGAATATAACGTGGCGTCGTTCATGTTGGTTTGTAAAATAAAATAACTAATGCACTTTTTAAAAATGACAATTTATACTTATAACGGAATCTTATCGTACAAATATATAATTATAGATAAAAAAAGGATTTTTCTGCTTTTTACTTATTTATTATACAACAAGTATAAGTTTAAACGACTTTTGATAGTTTAAAAAAAAATGTATAATAATTTATTATCTAGATAATATAATAAAAACAATATGATTGACAACATAATATAAAAATAAATATAAATTATAAACCAAAAGAGTAAAAATAACAATTATATAAGTAAGTATAATGTAAGTAAGTTTGTCTTTCTGATCGATGAGATTAATTTTCATATAATAGCGAAAGTCAATTAAACAAATATTATGAAAATATATTATATTTTATTCGATGATTGAAACTTTAATCAAATATTTTATGTATAACATATTTTGTACACAAATATTGCAACAATAAATTACATAATAAAAAAACTCAATACAATAAGAAAAATAAAATAAAATTCAACTGCAATTGACCTACATATTTCTACGGATGTAATTAAAAAAATAGAATAATTTGAAATACAGACTTCGTTCGATGAATCAAAGATAAAAAAAAATATATAAATGCAACCATATCAGAATTATATCGGTTAATTTTGATTGATATTTTAGTCTTATCGCAAATGACCTATTTCCAAATTAAAATTTTTGCAATCTACTTAATTATTATCTAACTTAGGGCAGAAAGACCTTTGGTATAGCTCTTTGCAACATTTAACTTTTTGTGATTTGTTTTTTTGAATATTATAATTATTATCTACTAACTACAATATTTGCGATTTCAACTCAGATAATTATTATCTGCTATACATCTTTACCTCTCTTGATAAATACACTAAAATTAATTTTCTAATCAGAAAAAAAATATAGATGATCAAAAAAAGTTAAAAAAAATAAACAATTTTGTTTTCAATAATTGTTACTTTTTTCAAAAGTCAAGTATTATCTGTTATACCTTGTTGATTAAAAATTCAAACTTAATTCCCATTCCAAACAACTCAAGTGCAAAATTAAATCTAGATTTGGTCGCTTCCGTTCACTTGCATTCCGTAGTTCCGAAATATCCATCCAATATCAAACATTCAACTACAAATTATTTATTCTTAAACAAAAATTGTTTCTCTTCTTGACAGATTTCTATCAATTTCTCTTCAATTCATTTCTAAAGATTCCAACTCGTTCTAAATTCTGTATCCTTCGCAATTAAGTTGTCTTTCTTCATTTATTTTTTAAATTTACTAATTATTAATTTTTTTATATTTAGAATATTTTGTATACATTATGGCGTATTTTTATTAAATTCTGCTCTAGTTTTTTTTATTATTATTTTTTGTTGGAAAATTTACGAAATATTTTAAATGTTATGGTATTTTTTCTAATAATGGAAATTTACTGCATTTTTTTGAATGTTTGAAACAAAACATTATATGATTATTATTAATAAAACAAGACATTGAAATATAAATGTGATTTTATTTCATAGGAAATTCAATGTCATTATAAAATAAGAAATAAGATTACTACAATTGTTTCAAAAATATAATTTACAATATCAATAAAGTAAATAAAATAAATTATTAAAAATTTAAACTCTTAAAATAACAAAAGATAAGTTAATTTGATTACATGATAGAGTTAAGAAGCTAGAACTATTAATATTTCATGAGGAATCTTGAATACTAGTTCGCGATTTTCTAGACGATCGAAGAATTTACAATTGTATACCTCTTTCATATAGTCTTCCACGTAAGAGGTTTGCATAACTTCTGGTATTTTTTTAATATATGGATTTACTGCAAGTAATGTATTGTTCAGTACGGATAATTCGGAAAAGGTGACAAATCTCTGTTCTACTCGGCAATCTTTCATCACAAAACCCTAATCTACGAGCAGTTCAAGCAGCAAAACGAGAGTATAATCAAATTTTTCTTGTACCGTCTTCGTAATATTTTCAGATGTTATATCACATACAATAAAATCTATTTTCGGGTTTTGTTTTGTTTCTTTGCATGATTTACCATCTCCGGTAAAATATCCAATCCAACAAGTTTAAGTGGAGCTAACACTTCCATGGTCACTTCACCAGAACCAGATCCTACGTCCAAAATAGAGTCACCACTTTCTGCCCGAGATAACATATTTTTCAACAAACATCAATAATTTGAATGCGGGAGTTCGGTCGATAACCCACAAATCTAAAGTTTTGTAATTATAATCATATTAATTAATTATTACAATTTTATTGCAAATATCCAAAATAAAATTGATGCAACAATATTAGCTACTTCAACAGAGATAATTATTATCAGAATATTATTTTATCTACAGTACATTTTTAGTTTCTTGATAAATATATTAAAAATAATTTTCTAATCAGAAAAAAAAACATTGATAACTATAAAAATATGCGGCGAAAATCAGAAAAAAAAATTATGTAATTTTAAATCTGCTGTTTTCCTTAAGACTGTTATTGTCTATCGACTTGGTTACAGGTCAATATGCTGAACTGTCCATCTGACTGTCCATCTGTGATGAACGATGACCCTATTGCAGCAAGCACCGAAAGGGCTCACAAAGGGCCTGACTTGACCAGGATTCGAACCGTCGCCCACGAAATCGTGGGTAGGGTGACTTAAACATTAAATAATAAATAAAAATTATTAATTGACAATAAACGAAATTACATAATCTTATTAATTTAATACTTAATATTTTAAGTGTATTGAATTATGTAGTCACTTTTTTAATGTTAGAAATTTACAGTAATTTTAGAATATTTGAAATTTACTATACATTTTGAATAATATAAATCTACTGTATTTACTGATTATGGTTATAAAATAAATCTTTGAAATGTAAAACTGATGTAATTGCATAGGAACAAAAATATAATTATTATATCTATAAAATATTTAAATTTATTGATTTAAAAATATAATTTACAATATAAATAAAGTGAATAAATGGCTTAAGACTTAAACTAATAACAAAAGATAAGATAATTTGTTTTACATGTTAGCATTTAGAAGCTAGAACTATTAATAATTCATGCGGCATCTCGAATAGTTCACGATTTTCCAAACGATCAATATTTGCGTGTCTATATTTGCACACTTCTTTCATATAGTCTTCGACATAGGAGGTTTGCAAATCTTCTGGTATTTTTTTAACAAATGGATTTATCGCAAGAAATGTATTTTTTAATTCGGATAATTCGGAGAAGGTCGAAAATCTTGTCTCTATTCGACAATCTTTCACCACGAAACCCTCATCTACGAGCATCTTTTTGAAAACAGTTTCAGGATCAGTGCAATGATGATACAGCGATATATATTTCTCGGTGTTCATCAAAAATTTGCACCATTTCGGGTAGGTTTTCATGGTTTCATAAATATCAAAAATCGGCGATTTTGCAGTAAAAACCAAAAGAATATCACCGCCCGCTTTTAGAAGATTGTACAAATTTTTTAAAGTTTGTTTGTGATTTTGAATCCAGTGCAAGCAGAAAAACGAAAATATATGATCGAATTTTTCTTTTATCGTATTGGTAATATCTTCGGATGATATGTCGTCTATAATAAAATTGATTTTCGGGTTTTTATTTTGTTTGTTTGCCAGATTTACCATCTCCGGTGAAATATCCAATCCAACAAGTTTTTCAAAGTCGTGTGGAAGTACTGGAGCTAACAGTTGCATGGTCACTTCACCAGAACCAGATCCTACGTCCAATATTGACTCACTACTTTTCCACTTTATTGTTTTTATGTAATTTTCTAATACGAAATTAACGTCCTTCGTTTGCATGCTGTGATATTTGGAATATAAGGTGGCGTCGTCCATCGTGATTCGATATGCAATAACTGATGTATTTTAATGAGATGAAAAAAAAAAGTATATTTATTTTATTGTACAAAATACTCAGTTTATCTTGTATGAACTTTAAAAGTTTTTGCTGATATTTCTTTCAATGATAAGATTATTTATATATAGGAAATATATGTCTACTAAATTACTTACCAGACAAATATTTCAAAAATATTTTACGTATAAGGTTAATAATCTCCTTGGATAAGATTAACATGCAATAGAATAATAATTATAATATTTTATATTGAAAATATTATAATAACATAAATAATTTATGAATCACAGTTGTATAGCTATATATTTACAAAAAAATTGGGCCCAACGTCCATGTTTGCAGAAAGGCCCTATATTTCCGCCTACGTCATTGCTGAATTATATCAACAGACTACATTCTACGGTCAATAGTCCTTTTCTATTGTACATTAATTTCAAATTTGGTACTTTTTACCATTTACATACTTAACTCATATTTTTAAAATTTTATCCAAAAATTTTAAATTAAAATATACATTAGAACCTCTTTTTGTGCGATTCTTTTATGAATGCAATGTGCATTTGTACAACCTGCTCAAGTGATTTTGTTAGTCGATTTTGAACCAATTCATCACAAGATGCGCGTTTTGGATTAACACGAGTAGCAATGAATTATGCATGTGCACTTTGAAAATCTATCCATATGTACAATGAGAATTTAATTATTTATTTCTTTTGGATGAACTTTCTCATGCATTTCGTAAATCTTTGACGTATCTAAGTGCGATTTCATATAATTCCCAATATCATTAATTTTCGTTATTTAAATGATAATAGAATTGCAATCACTGGTAATACTAATTTTGGCAACGGCGAATTATTATATCATTTGAACATGATTACGTGTTATCAGCTACACGTGGTATATCGTATCAAGAATTTGATGAAACATCAATAATTGAAAAAATAAAATATAATTTATGAGATTTTTCATTAATCCTGAGATTTTTCATTAGAATATTTTTTTGTGAATTTTCAATTGACTTTGCATTTTAAATTATTGGATTTATTTCAAACACGTTTGACCGCTTTTGGTCTATAATGAATCAATGAAAATTGTTAAATAAATAAATTGAAACAATATTGAGAAATATTTAATATAAGTAATAGTATATTTTTCTTCTTATTCTTAATCAGATTGCCATCATTGAGCTATGAAAAATAACAATAATAACTTCTTCTCTGAAGTAATGAAAGAGTAATACGAATGCATTAAGCGATATAGAATATATCGGAGATTGGTGGTTTTTATAGCAATTGGCAATCGGATGTATTGCCACTTAGCAAACGACCCTCGGACTAACCTATCGCAATACTTATGCCATATTCGGTCTTGTGCACTCAAAGAACTGGCGCGATTTAATCAAACTAATAGAATGAGCCACGATCAGGGCGTAATATTTCAAAATGGGACCTCTACGAAGCGCGTCTGTAGGGCGCATTTTCGACTGCAATAAAATACGACCAACCCCTACCCGGTGTTGCGCAGCCGAAATATGGCGCTGCAATATATTTTCATAAAGTGTCATTTAGTAAATTTATTAAATCATCGGATGGAATTGAATCTGTTTATGCGAGGTAATCATTTTTAAACGGGCGATTATGATGTACAGTCTGCAAATGCAATAATGCCTCCTGCTCTTCCCTTTTTGTGTGTGTGTTCCAGCGAGTGCGTGAAAGCTCGCATACATTAATTGAGTGGCTGATGGAATCTATTTTTGGGCGCAATAAATCTAGACCTAAATTCGTAGATAATGGAAAATGTACACCCAATGTGTTTTCATGCGGATTTGCGATAAAATTATTTTGTTGCTTTTCATTTCATTACATTTATTTTACGTTTCTTTTTGTTGCTGTTGCTTTTTTTTGTTGTTATTGTGTTGTTTTGTTTCGTTTTGTTTCGGTCCCGTCCATTTAACAGATTTATATTGTTTAACGAAACTCATTGTGCGCAGCGTATGTAAATGAGCGGTTATGGGCAATATTTCACCCATTTTCTAACTGAAAAGCGGCATTTTCAGGCCGGGTCGCGGGTCAGTTGATGTACGAGTGCTATTGAACAAACGCCGGCCCGAAAGGAAACCAGATCATTAATTTTAAAGAGCACAATGGTGGCAGGAAAGCACATGTTAAGTTTAGTTTGTTAATTACGACGTCACACACAATGGCAGCAGTTCCGGTTTCGCCCAGAACCGGAAATGTGGCGCTCGTTGCCCTGTTTCAAACTCTCACCGCCGCTCCGAACACAGAGATAATTTTCATTTTCATCTTACCACGACCATCCAAAATCCCCATTCCATTTCATTCCATTCCGCACATCACATCATGCAGCAGAATACACCCATTTATGTTGAATAACACTTGAATTTAGATAGATCTGAATGAACCTGTTTCACTGTTGAAATCGATGATAATACACGGAAAGAGATCGACGAATTTTTAAATCATTTTTCTAGTTGGACGCAGTTTTGAGTGTGAAAATGGAAAAGAGGTCGTTTACAGATGGAAAGTCTGGGTATGGGGCAGAGAAAGAACTGAAAAACTCTGTACGTAAATCAAAAGTGGTGTGTGTGAGTGTGTAGAGAGAGAACGTTTTTTTGCATTAAAATATTTTCTACATAACGTAACTATCCACTTAGCTAGAGACCGAGTCGACATATGTGACAACTCTCCATTCCGGTACAATGAATCACAAATTTAATCTCGCAAATGGATCCAGACCGCATTTCTCAGCTTGCATACTGGCCGCCATATTGCTCTGCACATATATCATCATCATCTCTTAACCTCAGGCTATGCACACGTTCCGATTCCAAAAATCTCCGTTTATTGATTTCCAGCATAATCCATTTACCAGCAAAACAGATTCAAATATTTATATTGTTATGGCGGATGCGCCAGGCTAAAAAGAATTAAATGATTTTACGTTACATCAAAATATATAGAAGAAATAATGTAGATTATTACTAAAAATATATCATTAAGAAAATGAAAATGAACTATTTAAAATGATATTTTGTATTATATAATATGTATTTATATAATTTTATATGTATTTCGTTCGAAAATTTCCGGATTTTTACTCGTATAGTGAAACATATTCCAAAATACACATAATATGTGTACACAAGTTTTAAAAATGATGTAGCAGGTGCGCAAACCGGAACTTCTCTTCTCATCGTCACTCGTTATGCGAAACGTCGCTCGTTAAGCGAGTCATTTTTCTTACAATTCATTTTTTTCGTTATTTTAAGTGATATATTCTTGCTTAATTATTTTTTTTAATTATGAAAGTTATAATATTGTTTTACATTTATTTTCACAGTAGTAAAATCCAAAATCTGATTTATTTATATTTTTTAAACTAACTGTATTATATTTCTTTGAAATAATGGAATAGAGCATATTTTAAACTTTTTGCGGCACATAACTAATCGTGACGCAGATGAGCAACATTTTCGTGTCCAAATAAAAAGATTTTAAAATAATAACCTAGGTTTTTATCGAACGCACAAAATGTATGTCAAATCTATATAATAAACTACCAAAATTCGTTCTAATCACTCTAAGTAAACCTTAGAAATGTTTATATTTTATTGTTAAGTTGATAAGATGTCAACATTCAAACCACACTCATATAATGTTATTTAAACTAAATGGTTTATTTATTTGTGTTATTAATGAAAAATATTGTTCTTACTGCAATAGTTATTAAGTAATATAATATGGTATTTTTTTTAAGTATTTAAATATAAATAGAATGTTAATAAACAAAAAAAAACATATATTATTTATAAAACTTATGTCCACTTACATTATTAACCAATAACGTTTCGTGAAAATAATGGCTTCGAATAGAAAATGCGATATTTATGAGCGGCTATCTGTTATAACTCGCGTGAGGATTGTCAGTCTTGTCACTGGATGGCAATAATTTTTATTTTATTTTCAATAAGGCAATTGCGAAATGCTCTTTAAATCATCCGAAAATCGACGTATTTATGTTTTGGTCCCTCCATCCTGCAGACAAACAATCTGATTGATACGTGCTCGCGAAAAATATTTTCACTTCACTTTTTTATTAGCCGTTCGTAGTTGCTACTTTTGCTCTACAACTTTTTCATCCACATAAACCTAAACGACAAAAACTTCTCGAATTCTCATCAAATCTATATAATAAACTCTCCAAACTCCGTTCAAATCACTCCAAATAAACCTTAGAAATATCAAATAATTTTATAAGAATTTCTATTAAATCAATGAAACATTACAAATATTATAATAATAAAATTACATTTATTAACAGAAAAAAATGAATACTTGAAACGCAATGATGACAAAGGGAGAATAAAAATTTTATATCAGTGTAGGTTACAGTTGAATATAAACTATAAAACTGATATGAAAATAAGGACATGGGCAATATTAAATCCGATTTTTATCGTAAATTTATTAGCAGAATGTCTGGTTTAGATAACGTCTTTAAATGGGGTCGTCAATTTTTAGAAGCTCTTTTAAAATATGCACCGGAGGTTCTCAAAATGGAAATTAGGATAGTTTAGTTTATATCATTCTCATAATTTGAATGAATTTACATAATTTTATCCTGAACATATTATTTTCGCAATTATAAATAAAAAATATCACAATTATGTTTAATACAAATATTACACTATATTTTTATAATACAACTATTATATAATACTAAATATAAACTAAATACATTTGAAATTATTACTTTTAGAAAAGGAACCAACTTAAAGTCTTCACATACAATTGAATCAAGTTGGTAATTCTATTACGGTAAAGAAATAGCTTCATTAGTAATAAACTTTTAATAATATATATATATAGATACAAAAACTTAAATTATATTTTCAAGTATGGACAAATAATATAAATCGCGTTTTGAATTCTTTATCTTAAATATTTATTAATTGCTTAAAATACAAATTGTTTAAAATGTGTGATATGGAAAATTT